TTAAAACTTTAATTTTTAAATATAAATTAAAATTTTAATTTTTCTTAAACAAATTGATATACATTAATTTTTTTTAAATATTAAAATTTCTTTATTTTTTTATTCTTCTGGTACCATCCATTCTTTTATCTTTTTTTATGTTTCTCGTACAGTCCATCAAACACTCATATCAGCTTTTTAAATTATGATGAACGGTCAGATGGGGAATCATGCGATTTCCGCTGAGATCACGTCACGAGGCACGGGGAACGGGGAAATGCTGCTAATGGGCCGAAAAAGAATCAGGGCCCACAAAATCTGCAAGCTGTCAAATGCCACCTCACCTTATCTCCTACACCACCACGCGCCACCCCAAGCCGGTGATCTAGGGGAGGACGAGTGGTCAACTACACACCGCATTAATGTACTCGCCTTCTCCTACTCACACGTGGCTACCCTAAATTATTATAACTCCTCCTGTTGGTTTTTAGTAGTTATAATTTATTTTTTTATTTTTTAAATATGAATTTTAAATAAATTTTTAACATATTATATATAAATGATAATTTAAATTTTTTTATCAAATAAAAACATTTAATAAGAATTTTATAGAAATTTTTTTTTTTATGAGCGTGGTTATGATTTACAAGAATTTGTTAAGATGACACAAGCTATAGTGCTTGTGTTTGGTTTAATTAATATTTTATTAATATATTATAATTTTTTAAACAATTAGTTATAGTTAGGATATTTGAAATTATTAATTTATAAGCTGATTTTAATATATTAAATAATAAATATTTGTTATCAATTAGCTATTAATTATTTTTAATAATAAACCAAATAAAGCTACTTCCTTTGTCCAATAATAATAGATGTTTTTTATTTTATATTTAGATTGAGAATTTGGAGATAATTTATAATTAAGTTACTATCTTGTGCCTTTAAAGTGAACTTATTGCATAATAATTCTTATATTTTATCTTAAAACAAATAAAATTGTTTTTTATGTTAATTGTAAATGCCCTGTGTCAGTATTTTATAGTAAATTTTAAATTAAAAGTGATAACTTTTTTTTTTAATTCAAAATTTCACATTGTTTAAGAAAAATATTACAATTATTAGTTAAGAATTGTTTTTAAAGATACAAATTAGGCAAATTTTTTATAATTTTATCTATATTACTTTTAAAAAATAAATAAAAATAATGACACTTTTTCAAGAAATGATGGATAATTAAAAGGCAAAAACTAGTGTTAAGCATCTAGACTTTCTTCATTTTCTCACATAAACTTAAAAAAAAAAAAAAAAAAGAAGAAAAGAAAAGAAAGAAAGAAAACGGCTTGTTTGTCCCTAGACGCTTAAATTTGAGCAAATTAGTTCTTGTGTTAATAGCATAATTACATTCGGTCATATAAGTTAAATAGTCATTTATTTATTTTTTACTGTAGCAATTATTTTATACTTAAAAGCTGAAATGACATGAAACTTAGTTGTGTAGTTTTTAATTTTGAAAATTTTGAGTTATATACTATAGATATTTAAGTATAAAGAATTTGTCATATCAATATTTAAATTATTATGCAATTGGAAAAACAAATGACCATTTAACTTATGTGATTGCACATGATTCTGTTGTTAACACAAAGGTTAATTTGCACATATTCAAGCATTTAGAAGCTTATATACCATTTTTTTCTTTGAGAGCTTATGTGAGAAAATGGAAATAAAAAATTAGGGGTTTAACATTGGTGCCCAATTAAAGTTTAGAAACAATGATAAAGTTAAAGCAGAAAAAAAAATATTTATCTCCATTTAAAATTAATATATGAAAAAATGATTATTATTCTAAACAAAATTCTAAATGAAATAACATCTACTCCCACAGTTTTAAAATAACTTTTATTTTTTGATTTTGAATTTTCAGTTTATCTCAAATTAATTATCTTTTTTTTTTTAAAAAAGTTAAGATAAACAAATATTTTTTTACTCTAACCATATTATTATTTATTTATTTTAATTAATTATCTTATCATAAAATTGTAATATTATAGTTATAATATCATATAAAATTGTAAACTTACAATTTCAAATGATATTAAATAAATTTAATATGATATTAAACGAATAGATACATATATTATAATTGATTATTTATTTATTTTAATTAATTATCTTATCATAAAATTGTAATATTATAGTTATAATATCACATAAAATTGTAAACTTACAATTTCAAATGATATTAAATAAATTTAATATAATATTAAACGAATAGATA